AAATTATTATTTAATTTATTTAAAATCAATTTTATTAATATCAAAGAAAAGAGCTGTCTTAAGGCACCTAGAAGTCCTTTTCTAATATTTTTAAATAAATAAATATTATTATATAATTTTGAAATAATAAATTAAATATATTTTTGAATTTTTAATTTTAAAATAAATTAAATATATTTTTGAATTTTTAATTTTAATACTAGAGAATTTATAATTAAAAAGTACCAATTTTGGGCGTTGTAGGGGTGCTACCTTCCCTAAACGTAACCGACCACGAATCCCTTTTTATTATTAAAAAAACGAATTTTTGGTTAAAACGCAGATCAGTTTATCTTTTAATTGATGTTTTCTAAAAAACTCTTTTAAAAGATATTTTTTAGGTATTCGACCTACCTGACCCAAAGGCCGATGGCGACTCTAAATTATTTTCAAAACCATTTATTCACATCAATGTCACCGCCAAATAAATATTTCGTGCCCGGACCAAAACCGGTTACGACAAGATGGATGTCATTCCACTTTATATTAGGTGGTTAACTCTCTTCAGTTAAATGTAACGAGTTGTTAACTTTTCTCTCTAAAATTTTAATCGGTTAAATTGTGTTGTATTTATTTAACTAAAAAGAGATTAGTAATTTAATTAAATTTGAATTCATAAATTGCATTGAGAAGATAGTAATTAACTGACTAGGTATCAATTTCCAGACGTTATGGGGTGTTAACCCTTCCTCACATGTAATCGACTCCGAACTCGTTTTTGCATACCTAAAATTTGTTTTAATTCACACTCTAAACAAATATTGGTGGCGACTCCCTCGAAACATATTTTTTATTTTAAAGGAAACCCCAATTTTAATGAAAACGAAACTTAAAATTAATTTTTCCATTTTTGAGACTTTATGAAACAATGACCATAGAAAACTAATAACAGACATACCTCAGCTGGCACATGGTAAAACTCCCATCTCTTGAATCCTGCAAATTAAATGAAATCATAGAAGAATTCCAGTCAAAATTCAACACAATTTCTATGGTTGGAACCAAGTAATCAAGGTGAATGTCACGAATTTCGATTTATGTTATCAGAGAATAAATTATAACCTGTTTTTCAGTTTTAAGATTACCAAAGTGAGCTAAACATGAGATTATGCATTAGTTCTGCAGGCGGCCTTTATGAATATGATAAGATCTCGAGGCCATCATGGAAGAAGCATCTGCAGAGTGAAGAAACAGCAAAAGAGGGTTCTCTAATACCATTAACGGGGAGCTCGGTACATTTCTCGAGTGATCACTCCGCATCGTTGTTTTTACTAACAAATGTACTCTGCATAAATGAATATCACCAATACTCACAAACTAACACATTAGAGCATCACAAGACATGGGCATACCCTATTTTCCTAGTTTTGATATCATTTCTGATGAATATCCTTAAATACACAGATTCACGGTAAGTTGCAGAAATCAAATAAAATAAGAAAAGCAAACAGATTCTTCGATAAGTTCTCAATGTGCACTAACCAATATCCTTACATGTCATGTCGGTTGCCCTCAGAAAGTTCAAATGAAAGATTGCCGAAACCCTCCAGAAACCAAACTGGCATGCATAATAGACCAAAAAATGTCTAGGATTAACGTAGTGTTTGTTGTTGGAAGAAATGACCAGTTCTACCAGGATAACAAAGTGACAGAGTTGTGGCATGAGCATCACCAATCTCGGCATTTAGTTCTGTCCAGGTTGACAGGAACCGCTACGAGGCGTTTGTCCTTTTAGCAAACCGGTTCGCTTTTCATGCTTTCAAAGATTTTACCCTGGTTGCTCCACTTGGGCCATTTTTCGAAGGGAATCCACTGTTTTCCATAGGTTCAGTCGTTCAGACGGAAATGTATACCTAAGGTATAATATAAGAACCAATTGAAATGAATAAGAAACTAACGAAAATTATTAACTGGTCCGGTTAGCAGAAATTCAGCAAGTTCAGGACAGGCAATGGAAATGGATGCAGATCATTGGCACTCCAACAAGTCCATGCACAGCAAGTCAGTGGATTGCTTTGGCTTCATGAACAATTAAACAACACCTCAAAAGAGTTTTCTTCTTCTTTCTGTGTTGTTTCAAAACGTCAGAATTTTGATATAAATTTGAATGTACATTAAACAAGGTATAGAAATTGACACGTACCAAAATAAAATCAGCAGGAAATGGAATCTTTTTTGCTTCAAACGAATTTTAGTTTCACAATGCAAACAATTCAAGGTAGAACTAGGTGCAAACAACAAAAATCTTCTTTGAAAGAGAACCCAGGAATCATACCAGAGAAACAAGTGTTGAAGCTCCCGAGAAAGTACTTTGTCCAATCCAAGAAATGGGATTTGTTCATGTCTCCTCCCCATGATTTCAAGCGTTACAATGTCTACCCCGATGGTTCTAGATTGATTAACACTGTTAAACTCGCTGTCATTGCGTTTAACCCAATCTACTGTTGTGATTTTTAAGAGCAGCTGGTTCTGCAGGGCTGCAAACCGGATCACGTAACGTACTCTTCGATCATAAACGTCTACTGATGTATCGGTCTCAACGCGAAAGCCGATACCTGTTTTCGGAGATGCAGGATAAAGGGTTCGATAAATGTGTCGTGGCCTATCGTAGCATGATAGCAATGTATGGGAAGAAGGGACGATAAGAGAAGCAATGACGATCATTAGCGTTTACAATCAAGTGAGTGCGTACAAGATGTGCCTGAAGTTCTACCAGGGGTTTAGATCGAACAGGGATCGATCGATAAGGCTATTGCCGGCTTCATGGTCGGAGTTTTCCCGGAAAAAAAAAACCAAGTTTGATCAATGAGTTGGTGAGGGTTCTGCAGCACATCAAAGCTGAAGGGACTCAGTTTGATCAACGATTTTTTTTTTTGACTAATTACATAACTAAACTGAATTTATTGGTTTAAATTAGTGCTTGAACTTAGCTTCCTAATTCGATTTAGATTATTTTGAAGTTACATACATTTTGGGCCTGACAGATACAAATTCATATGACTTTAAAAGTTTGAGGTATATAATATTTTTATTTCATTTATTTGATTAAAAATTTAAATTAAATTAATTTGAAAACAGATAATATATCAACTTTAATAACTGGTAATTAATTTTTACATGATTCGATCAACGATTATCCTAATAACCAAATATTTAGCACTTATATGGACCCATGAGCAGGGCCTAAAGGAAGTTAATTATTTGGAGCCACTTGATATTTATATATAATTATATGTACGAGGGAGACATTATTATCCAGTTTTGCATTTCTCCCTAACATAACATGTGCTATGGTGGCTACCATTTGTTTATATTATCTATATTCTCGACATTATACAAAACTCTCATTTTTATGTAATTTTTTCCTCACTTATATTTTGCCTAAGTAGTCATCCAATATTTGCCATAAACTTGTAATATTTAGTTTTCTTGCAATTAACTGGGGAAGAAACAAAACCCAAACTTCTTATCTGATCATTGAATGGGCCCATATCATTATAAAATAAATAAGAAAGACCTGAAATCATGGCTTAATTAAGTAGGGAAATATTGTACAAACTTGATAGTGGCAACTTTTTTTACCCCCATGTAAGTAATTATTGAACTCATTTTCTTTTACTTTTCCAATAATTCAGTAAAATAATTAAAAATATTTATTTAATATCCAAATATAACAATTAATGATTTTTTTGTTGTCCTCCGGTTCTAAGATTTAGCTCTGATTAAACTGGACCGACCCAAGTCGCACACCTAATTTTGGTGGGTGAGTCTTCCGAACTTGAACATGAGACCTTATTTAAATGATATCAAGCTAATTACCACTTGAACCAACCCAATTGATAATATATTAATGATTTTTTATATATATGGACTTTTTTGTATTTCATCTATGATCATTTGTTGAATATAAATTCGATTGAAAAATTGTGCTCTCTCACAGCATACTTATGATAAAACCTAGTTTTTCTAAGTTATTTTATTTTTTCAGACAACAAAATTTGAAATAATGCTAACATAAAAAGAATAAGTGAAGCTTTCAAAAGGGTTTTTTTTTTATTAATTGGGATAAGTAAAAGGTAATATACATTTAAATACAACTTTTAATGCATTGAACGTTCACACATATGATATTCTCGGTGTTTGAATCCGAGTCTTTAAATAATTAAAATAATTCTTTTATTATAGAGGTGGCTCGGTTTGTATCAAAAGGGTACTTTTTAAAGTTATCGAAATATAATTTATAATAATATTATTAAATGAATAAGCTAATAATTTCATTTCGTTTGAAATGTTTACTTTCAAGATAAACAATTAGCAAAACAAAAAAGTTAAAAAGGGTCCCATTATGAAAAATTTTCTCAATGACATTTAACCTAAACAGCAACAGTATGTGAAGATAATTATGATATTGATATTGATGCATGCCAGCTAGTTATATTATCAACCTTGTAGAATATAAATTTATTAAATTGAGACACATTTTTTTATTCCTATTATATTAATAACTTGTATTATATAAATTTTAATGCATGTATTAATAACTTGTATGACGTTCATGTTTGTATGAAAGAATATTTGTATTATAAGGGAGCAGATGTGTATGCAGCTCAAATGCACATGCCATTAAAACATAAGAGCACATGGATACATATATATACAGAGCGAAAGATAGAGAGGCCCCAATCTGATTTAATGTTAAAATATTAAGGCAAAAACATAAAAAGAGCACCAAATTCCATAAAAGAAAGGTGCTGGCTGAAAGTGAAGGGAGTGAGTGGTACCCAGATATTCATGTAAAATTGTCAGAAACCATGTGACAGTGTGGCCCTTCATCCACAATATGAGACAGAAGTGTCCCCTAAAGTTTACTTTAATCACACGATGAAAGGAAAAGACAAACTTTTTTCCCTTTTATCTCACTTTTGTTTTCACAGTTCTGCCTGTTTCATTTCATCACAATCTAATTGCTGACAGATACTGTAAAAATAATAACTTGAACACCAGATGAAACACACCCAGAGTCGAATTCTTTTTACCATTACACTCCTTTGCCGTTTTGGGTTTCCCATATCTGTATAGTTGTTAAGCTTCTGGAAAAGTACTTTTATAACTTCTTGGGGGTTTAATTCTGTACACAGTGACATAGTTCATACAGTCACTTTTTTTCAACTCACTTTGGAAAACAGAGTTGGAAAAAGTAAAAGGGAAGCAGTAAAAAAAAATTACAATATAAGATAAAAAAGAAAAAAAGAGTTACTCCTACTAGTTACTGCTACTATCCTACTACTACCATCCTTCGTTTCTACACTGTTTGTTGTGTGGTCCAGCAATTAGGGTGTCACCAGTAAGGTAAGGCAGAAGACCCCACTTGCATAAATCGGTTCCTCTGTCTTTTACCTATACATATATATTATGAATTTTGATTGTAAATAGTATTGCTGATGATGATGGTGATCTTTCAGTGATCTTGTCTTACAAGATATTTTTTGTATGGTTTGTTGGCTATACACCTTTGTTTATGGTTTAATCCTCCATGATATGCTTAATTGTCACTGATTCTGCAAAGGATTATAATTAAAAAGCAGTTCAAACATTATGAAAATGATCGGATTTTGTTGCGGTTCCGAGGTGCTTGATAGCGTTTTTTTCTTACCCTGGCAAAGTCGATTTTCCTCCATTGTTGACTAGCTACATGCCAATGGTTCCTTGCCCGGATGAAAACCATTTACAGGAAAAGGTTAATCACAATTAGCTTCCACTGGTTTTGTTGGATGCTATAGCAATGGACAGTGATGCTAAATGATGATATACCTTGGCATTTGTAGTAGATATGTGTTGAGGGAAGCCACGTTGAGGCCGAAGACATTACCAATAGAACATGAAGTAGTCAGAGCTCCGGTTTCGACTTTCGTCGTCAGCTTCTATGGCCACTGCAGATGAGGTGAAGAAGATGTGAGGTGATCACCAGCTGATTTCTTCGGAGAAGTGAATAGGTTATCGGGGAGAACATGCTCCAAGCTGTTCATATGAGGAAAGCATTAAATCGATCACCTAAAGCTACCACAAAGCAAGTATAGTTATTGTTTTGTTTATCTACATTTAGCATTCAAGTTTCATACCATTCAGGAACATCAGTTTCTTCGGTATTGGCCTTCCCCTTAGTGTTACTATTACCATTGCCATTTTTATAATTACAAACTGCATTATTATCCTCCATCTGCTTATCATCTTTCATAGCAGCAGCCAACTTGGAAACAGCTGAGATCGTACAACCACCGTTCTCTGCAGCCAAAAAAGTACACCGGATCGCTAAATTGAACAGTAAGGTAACTTGGTTCATATGGTGATCAAACCAAAGTCGAACGAACCTTCAGGGACTTCTTGATTGATGCCATCAGCTGGAAAAATAAGTGCATGATTGTTGGGAGTACGGGGTACAGTCGGTGAAGGAATGGGGGATCCGGTGGACAAATCATGATGGAACGGAGATTGGTGCTGGTTCTTTAAGTCCAGCAGCTGCAAGTTCAATAGCCTTCTTCCTTGAAGCTCAATGGCTTGCTGCAAATCAGCCTGCTCCTCCATTTTCCTTCTCAGCAGCATCTCTTGAGTATTGTAAAACATTTTCGATCCTAAATAAGTTCAGATCGGAATCGAAGTTGCACCAACAATGCATCAAAATTTGAGATAAAAGCAAAAGGCCTGGTTATACTTACCGAGATGGAGATCGAATGGCTCCCTAGAATCAATTGCAGACGGACTCCAGCAGGTCGAAAACTCTCCTCGTTCCAATTGTTTCCTATAAATTCCATCGATTAAGATAAATTACATTCACTTAGAAATCAAAGTTGGCAAGATAGTACAAAAAGAAAGAAGATAACAAAGAGCCTTTACTTCTCTTGGACTTTCCCTTTCTCCTTGTAAGGTTTAACAAGCACCCGAGAATCGCAGATGAAATGAGGGTTCCCTTTGGCTAAAATGAGCCTCACTGTCTCTGGATATACAAATGTAACAAAACCAAACATCCTCTTTTGCTGGTAAGGAATCCTCACATCTTGTACTGGTCCATAAATGCTGGAAAAATCCAAAGGGAAGCAATAATCTTTAAACTCAAAACTCGGAATAATAACAACAATCATAAAAAACCAGTGACTTTACCTGAAATAATTTGAAACATCTTCTTCTTTGAAAGAACTATCAGCTGGGAAGGTCAAGTAAATCTGTCTAGAACATGGATTAGCTGCTGCTCCTAAACCCAAGCCCGAAAAATCGTTTCTTTCGGGCCGGCACCGCCCCAACTTATGAAGCTCATCACCCGTCATCAAAGCAGCCATTGCTGACCTGCCATAGCTATTAAGAGACTTGATGTATGGGAAAGAAGTCCCCGGCATGAACTGAGAAGCTGAAGCAAGATTTTGTTCCTGTTGTTGAAGAGCTTTTGATCTAAGTAGCTCCTGGTAATGCTGCTCCAACTCGTTAAGCATACTCGGAGAACCGACGAGAGCAGCTCCTCCATCGGCACAATCTCCATGAAGAAACCTACAGCTAGTACCGTTCTTACAAAACCCTCTAGCGAAGTACAAACAAGGTTTCCATCCAATCCCAGAGTTGACATCAGCAGCAGCACCAAAACACATACCGGGAACCGAGAAACTCCTCCTGTGTAAAACAGAATCGGGCATTGCCAAGTCAAGTCGAGGGCTGAACAAATCTTCGGGTTTCGAGTCGTTGAGAAACGAAAGATGGTCGTCGATGAATTCATTATCATCGTCATTTGCAATGGCGCTGCTTCGATTGACAATAGAGGCATACGAGAAAGGAGAAGAAGGGATGGATAAAGGTGTTGGCTTTGAGGAGAGAGGAGACGGAGAAAGGGGAGCGGACGGTGTTGGCGGGTTCGAACTGGATAATCCCAAGTGGGTTTTGGCTTTGAGGATTAAAGAGTGGATGTGAGCTTCGGGTCCAAAGGCTAAACGGATCATTTCCTTCTCGCCATGGTCTTGGATAAGAAGATAACCCATGATTTTCGAAGCGTTATCAGGGTCTAAGCTTTGGATCCTTGATAGCACTATCCTCGTTGCTTCATATAAATCCATGGAAAAGTTATTTCAGTTCCAAGGATTAAGAGATGGAGAAAAATGAAAGGGAAGAGAGAGCAAAAGCAGTGAACTTTGCTTCAAAAAGGGAAATAATGGCTCCTGATTAATATTATTATAGTAATTATAAGTATTCTGAGGAATATAATGAGTTCAAAGCTTCTTCCTCTCTAAAAGCCCATAAGATAAAGCAGCAGCAGCAAAGGTAAGGTATACCCTCCTCTTTCCTCACTTAATAAAACACTGCACCAAAGCTTTGATTTTCCTTGTTTTTTTAATTGTTTATTTATTTAATTACTTGAATATATTTACAGATTTTGGACAAAAGAAACTATATGTGGGTGGGGAGAGTAGATCCGGATCTGCTTCAGAAACCCTATTTGTGTTGGGGTAAACTACAAGAATATTCACTAAACAAAAGTTACAAATTGGTCAAACGTTATCGATTTATAATAAAATGGTAACTCGACATTAATAGCCGTTAATCTTGGTGACAGAAAGCAGAGTTGAACCGTTAACACTTGCCTTGTAACACCCCAAAAAGTGGGTTAAATTGAAGTGCTAGTAAGTTTACTAGTCTATTTGGCAACTCCTTACAAATATGGGCCTTGGGTTGTAATTAACCCATAAATTTTGGGATTTGAATACCCAAAACCAGCATTCACGGTTACCATTTGGTATTTAAAAAAAATGAGCACCTTAGTCGGTTCTCTCTCTATTTTTTCTCTCTCAACAAAACATTTTTAGTTTTTCTTCGATTCATTGCTAACCGAGATGATGTGTTTGACACCTTCGGTACCATTATGTTTATCTCGTCGACCACATTTGTCCGATGTCCTTGGATTTTTGTTCATCATCGTTGTTTGCAATCGGTAAAGTTTTGAATATTCGGGTTTCGCTAAAAACCCCATATCCGTTGATATTTTTCACAAACTGACCTGATAAGTGATTCCCCGTAGTTGAAATTATTTTTTGAAAATTTTGGTGTTTTTCTGGCCACCGTAAAGTCCCCCACGTGCTCTCACGCACCATCGTGTGTGCGTGGGATTCGTCCGACAGTTTGGACCGGCTGAACCGGTCACCCCTTGGACCGAACCGGCTAGGCTAGTCATCGACCCGTTTTACCGACCCATTGATCGTTGACTTTGACTTTGACTGTTGAATTTGATCGTTGACGTTTTTCAAAATGATTTATCTTTATGTTTTTCGACGTCTTGAGTCCGTTTGGTCAAATTCTGATCCGAAAGTCCTATTTTGCATCATTTATTGGTTAAAGTCATGATTTAATTAAGTAAATTATGGGATTTTAAATTTACTTTATGGTATTGATTTCCGAAGGTGATCACGTTTCTCAACATCATTTACCATTTGACCCTGACTGTTTTCGCTCAACTCAGTTCGATTCGCTCAACTCAGTTCGATTCTGCCCGTTTGTCTCGAGATACACGTAAGTATCATTTAGTGACTTTATAGTCTTTTACGTTTAGAATTGTGAATTTCATGTTCTAACATCTGCATGGGATGAATTTCATGTTCTAACATCTGTATGAGATTATATCTCCGTATTGAATCTACTTGGGATCCTCATATGAGGGTTAAATTCCCATTCTGATTTTGGTATTTAGTTTTCAATGTCTCCTTGTAAGGTAATATTGCATATTATGTTGATTCGAAATGAATAGTAAGATTGTGAATTTCTGTTGGGACATTCTGCTAGTAAAATATTTAAATTTTAATCTTGGTCGATTATTATTTTGTTTATTATTTTATACTTGAATTTTTCTACGTTGCAATATTACCTTATTAAATTTTATAGGACACATTGAGCCTTGTAGCTCACTCTGTTTATGTCTTTCTATTTCAGATTATCCATATATAGGGTCAGTTTGGCTATTGGAAGTATGGTCTTGATTATACATTGTATGTGTTTAATATTTACTTTTCAGCCTTCTTAAAATGTAACATGATTTTATTTCTGATTTTATGTTCAGTAAACATTTTCAGAATGACTTATTAAAAATTTTCTTTCGTAGATTGTATATGTGATCAACATGGTCACTCTGATTCAATTTCAACTCCTATATTGGGTTTAAGGGGGTTACATTTAGTGGTATCAGAGTCTATGTTTAAACTCTTGGACTGTGCAGTCTGCTATAATTCTGAAATTTTGTTTAAAACAAATTTGCAAAAAGATTTTTTAGAAAAAATATGAAAAATGATTTTTGAAAAACCATGCCACAAGATTTTCAAGTATTTTATGAAATTATCGAGACCCCGATGCATTCTGTAAAGTTACTACTTATCTGTAATGATGGTTTAATACTTAATATATATATATAGTCGTGAGCCTGGTTTGGATGTTTGATGTCGTTTAGACACATTAATTGGTTATTTCGAGTGTAAGGTCTAAACTCTTGCAATTAAGTCAAATAACGACACATGTTCTTGATTTTCTTTTAACACTCTTCAATCCTAATTGGTTAAACTTTATTAACAATTATGAATTTATTCTCGATTTCCTCCTAAAAATAAGATGTGTTAATATCTGGTTTTCAACATTATTTTAATTTTATATGGGAAACTCTGACTGAAATCTCTGGACCTGTTATAAAATATTTCCTAAGAGGAAACTCGTAGGAATTTAATATATTTCATATGACTAAATATTCTTTCAAGTTCATATTGATTATGAGTTTTGATAAAATTCCAGTTATGTGCGACAATATAAGAACATAAATGGATCACTGTAATAACGCTAACCTGTTCGAGTTCTTATTTTGTCACACTGTGGTTTTCTATTTACAAGAATAATTTTTTAGTAATATTTTGTTCGAGTTTTTATTCTGTCAAAAATTTGTGTAAAGTTTGACATTCCATAATGGAATATTATTTTGATATGAACCATTTTGAATTCCTTCAAATTCTTTGTAGATTAATTCCGATATCTACTAAAAGTTTCCTCATATTTTTTATTAAATATGATATATGTATTGTTCAAATTTAATATGACTTGGGGAAAGTGTTTCGACATTATCATTCCACTTCCTCAGTAATTATTAACTTTGTATGTGATATTCATTATCCTAAAACATTAGTATAGGTTCTGAAGTATTTGATGAGACTAGATATAAGTATTTCTCGTGTATTGTCTATATTATGAAACCGAAAGGATATAACATTTGTATTACTCTGATTCAGACTATCTCAAGGGGGAGAGTTAATTTCAAGAATTACTTTGAAAGTATGAAAACTAGAATTCTATTTATGCCTAGTTTATTTCAACCCATACAGACTTCAAAATGGATTTGTGAATGGGTAACTGTAGATTTTCTCAGTAGATTGCCTTTGACTCTATCAAAATAAGATTCAGTCTGTGTTTTATCGATCATCTTGACAAGTCTTTTTATATTATTTTGGTTCGAACCAATTATATTTCTGGTAACTAATCGGGTTGTTTACTTATGAGATTGTTTATTTTGGCAAGTTTTCCGTGTCTATAGTGACTGATCGAGATCCGGGATTTTTGTCACGATTCAAAAGACTCTTTCCAAGGTTATGTGTCTGCGATTGAAACATAGGTACCATTTATTATCCTCAAACTGGTGGGCTATTGAACGTATTACTCATATACTGGAAGATAAGTTGAAATGATGTATTATAATGTTCTGAGATGATTAGAGGGATCATTTACTGTTGATTAAGGTTTAATTCTTGACAGATTTTGTGATGATTATGACTAACTGCATAAAGTCATGAGATAATGTTAGAGCTTGAGTGTGTTCATGATTCATAGTTACCAGCCCCTTACGTTATTTATGTTGAGACTAATGAACTAAGATATGATTTCACTTAAAAAATTATTCAAATGCTTATCTGTGAGGGTCAAGTTCTGAGAATCATATGAATATTGACAGTTAAAATACTATAGAGTAATAGTAGTTTCTGAAGGTCATTTCAGCGACTCTAGTGTCTGTAAGGATGTTGTTTCCTCATCTTTTTCTGTCAGCTAAAAATTTGATGTCGAAATTTTCTTAAGAGGGAGAATTGTAACACCCAAAAAATTGGGTTAAATTGAAGTGTTGGTAAGTTTACTGTCTATTTAAGAACCTTTTTTAAAATATGAGGCTTTGGTTTGTAATTAACTTATAAATTTTGGGGTTTCAATACCCAAAACCTGCATTCACAATTACCATTTGGTATTTTTTTTAAAATAAGCACCTTAGTCGGTTCTCTCTCTCTTTTCTCTCTCTCAACAAAATGTTTTTTGGTTTTTCATTGATTCATTGCTAACCGATATAAGATGTTTGACACCTCCGGTACCATTATGTTCATCTCGTCGACCCCATTCGTTCGGTGTCCTTGGATTTTCGATCACCATCGTCGTTTGCAATCGATGAAGTTTTGAATGTTTGGGTTTCACTAAAATCCCCATCTCTGTCGATATTTTTCGTAAACTGGTCCCGGTAAGTGATTATCCATAGTTAGAATTATTTTTCTGTAAATTTTTGTATTTTTTCGGCCACCGTAAAGTCTCCTACTCACTGCCATGCTCGCGTGGGATTCGTCTGACAGTTTGGACCGACTGAATCGGTTACTCCTTGGTTCGAACCAGCTGGGCCAATAACCGACCCGTTGACCCAACCCGTTTGATTGACCCGTTGACCCAACCCGTTTAACTGATCCGTTGATCATTGACTTTGACCGTTAACTTTTTTTCGAAACCATAAGTCTCTATGTTTCTCGACGTCCTGAGTCCACTTTCGCAGTCTATTTGGCTAAATTCTGACCCTAAAACCCTATTTTTCATCATTTATTGCTTAAAGTCATGATTTCATTAAGTAAATTGTGGGATTTTGGACTCACTTTCTGATATTGATTTCTGAATGTGATCATACTTCTCAACATCATTCACCAATTGACCCTAACCGTTCTACCTCAGTTGAGTTCGATTCATCCCGTTTGTCTCGAGATACGTGTAAGTATTATTTAGTGACTTTATAGTCTTTTACTGTTTAGAATTATGGATTATGTGTTCATATA